ATGGCTACCCTGCATCTTGGTGTCTGACATTTCGGTCGAGGCCAGCAGCCCATTTTGTGGGTTGGGGCACCGTTTTGCCAAGTACTGCACGCAGACACTGTAATCCCCACCCTGAACAGCTTGTGAAGATTACCCAAAGCCTGGAGGATTTCTGTTCATGTGCTGACAAGAAGGAGAATGTCAAACAAAAGCTGGAGCTTATGTGGATGGATTCTGTGGACAAAATCTGGAGCTTCCGTAGTCTCTTTTTTTCCCAGTCTGTATGTTTTCTTCCTACCTTCCTTGCACCATGTACACAGAGTCGTTTGTCTTTTATTCTCCCAAGACATGTACAACGCATTAGTCTATTGAAGCTGCTTAATAATATGTGTGACGTGCACGTACGTTACTTAGAATACCTTTTTGTTGTATTTGTAGAAGTTTTAAGGGAAACCATTTCCAGAGGAAAATGATGCAGGCACGTATAGACATTTAGCAGCGTCCCAGCATTCTGCTCGCTCCAACTTGATGATTTTCTTGCTTCCTTTCTCGTTATACCAATGTAATCGTCATGAAAAGCAGTGGACTGACAACCCTTAAAAACAATTGTCCTGCTCACAGCAATGAGCATGAAAAGCACAGGAGATTCCAGCTGGTCTAGAACAAGATCTGTGTCTGCTCAACGTGACACGGCAAAGGGAGCACGTTAGCCCTGTGCTGCACTTGCTCAATTAAACACCGAGTTGTGCTCAAGGTCATTACCTTGCACTATTTGATCTCCGTAGGCTGGGGCTGAACTACCTGAGAGACATCCCTTTCTTGACAACCCTGACTTTCTGTAGCCGAAAGGATAGGGCTGTGTTGCTACTTGTTTCTCACTCGTTTCCTTGAAATACTGCTATAAATACTTACCAGGTACCTGCAATGCACTGCTTAATGGGCATGGATGATACTTGCTTTCTCGTGCGCTCCCCTCCCAACCAGGCTTTCTCATGATTTGGCAGGAACCAGGGGAGAGTTTTGTCTGCTGAGACAGTCAAACGTTTCTGATAATAGCAACTGCCACTGTATTTTTTTTCTGATGTGAACCCTTGTCTGCTGAGAATTAAACTGGATATCGCAGAGTCACGTGGAATACACGCGGTCTTTACGCTGTAGTGTTCTTCTGCATTCTTCTTATCCATTTCCCACTGAAGAAGTGATCACCATTAACTGTGATGGACAATCAGCTTTCAAGCTGAAATAGCAGGACTGTATTGCAGAGTGTGATACTCTCCTCTCTCAGGGTTTTGGTTTTTTTTTTTTTGAGGAGTAAAGGGTGGGCGGCAGGTTTGAGGCTGAAAGACAGATGCTGAAAATAAAGCAAGGCAGTGAAAAGAAATCCTTAAAGGAGGAAAGCATTTGCCAGGGCTTGGAGAGAAGCACTGTTTTTTCAGGGGCAGGATAAAGCGGTAAGGGAGAGGTGGAGTCTGCTGAGACTTGGGTCCCCAGGAAGCTGGAGGGATCTCTGACTTCATGATAAAATTCATCGTAGCTGCCTGTATGAGGCAGTGTCAACAAGAAGGGGGAACCTCTCTTCTTTCTTGTGTTCTTTACTTGTGCAAAGGGCTGGTGTGTTTTGCCAAAGGAAAAGTCTGTCTCGGGAACCCCAAAGTGATGTTGTGGCCGCTCCTGTTTTCATACTGACGCGTACTTATTTGGGTCTGCCGATGTAAAATCTGTTCTACCTTTGCTTGCCACTTCACGCATTTATTTTCACTTCAATTTCTGAAGCAGTGACATTGTGCACTGTATTTTGAGTGCTAATGTTGATTGAAGTTCTCCCTGAAAGGATGTGCACTTGAACTGTCAAGAGAGTGAGTTATTGACAGCAGGTAGAAGTACTTTTTGTGTCAAGGCTTTGTCAAGTCATTGTTGTAAAACCTACTTTACTGAATACCAATAATTCCTGCTAGATGTTCAATCAAAAGAGACTCTGTTCCAGCACCATTTTAGAATAATATTTAATACTTATGAGTCCTTCCCTAATAGGCAAATGTAAGGTAAGTGAATAACAGTACTTTACACTGGTTAGTCCATTTGGGGGGCTCCTGTGTGCATATTTGCAGCCCAGGATAAAGGGAAGAACTCTTTTCATTCCTTTGTACACTGATGCTGAGAGAATCTGAATGTGAGAGTTTGTTTAATACCGTGTCTTTTATAACTGCTTATTCAGCACATGTTCCATAATAAAGATGTTTAATAACTCACAGCTGTTGATTTTCTTTTTTCCGTAGGAAATGTTTCCTTTTTTCTGTGAAAACATGCTTTAAAATAAATAGTTTTATAATGATCTTAAAGATTTTAAATAGTCTAAATGTGTGTTTAATAATCAAAGAAGCTTACTATTCTCAAAATCACTTTCACCATTGGAGGAAGCCTGAAATGTTGCACCCTCTTTATTTATTTTTACATCAGTACTTCTTTTTTTTCTTCTTCTTATGTCAAAATGCTGTGTAAGTAGAATTCCCCTGTTTTGCTTTTTGAAAGGCTAACGTGAACAAGGCCATACCGCTGGGCATGCAGAATTTGACTAAGGCCTTTTGTTACAGGTAATTACCATCTGAGGCCATGAGATGGTTGGGTATGGAGTGCGAGTTTAACACTGAGGAATTGCCACCTAGAGCCATTTACCGGGGATCCGGAATCCTTATTTGCTTTACAAAAGAGATTCAGATTCCACTGACATTGTTTTTGGTTACAGAATAAATTTTAAAATGAGTTTCTAATCCAATAGGAAGGCTGAAGATGACTATGCTGTCTGCTTTGAGGCTGTGTAATATTTTTAGCACTTCCGCTTGATCACTGCAACAGAGTAATTTCATTTCAGTCTACTCGGACAATGAAAAGAATGTAATTGTTTTGTCTGAAGAACTCATACAACTTCACAAACGTCGCAAATGCTTTATTGTTCTGGAGATGCACAAAGAGAGTGTCCAAGGAAAATGAATGAAATGTCATCTCATAGATGGAAACTTTGTAAAAAAGATTTGCTCTATTAAAAAAGCTGGCTGAGACAGCAGGGATGGTTTGGGTAAAAAGTAAGCAGTAGCAGAAACATGTTTGTTGAATCTTGTTAGTTTTCTGGGCTTGTAAAAGTAGTAAATCTAGGGGGGAAATTACAGTGTTAAAAATGCAAGAAGTATTGGGGTTTAATTACTTTACGGAAACAAAACCTGCAGAGAGGATAACTTGCAATACCCCACTGCTTCCTTAGCGAGTCAACTGAACGGCTTGTTTAATTTGGGGCTATTATAATCAATTGTATATAGAAAATAAACAGAGTAGCAGCTGGATCCGGTGATGATCTTGCCAGATCTGAAAGAGCCGTATGTACGTATTCGGTGTAAGGAAGTGTCGTGGGTTGTTGTTTTGGGAGATGATACTACAAATGCATGTCCTGCGAATTTTCATTAAAATGCATCTCGTACATAAGGCACTCCAATGTCATACTGGAGTAACAGGTTTTGAAATTTGGTTTTAACAGTTTAGCTAGCGGGAGGAGCAAATTCTGGAATAGCAGGCCAAAGTCTGCCCCAGTTCTTCTCTTTTAGGGGTTCCAATTGTATTTTCTGGGGCTATGGGATACAGTAAGGCTTGCGTTTGGTCCAGAATGAGTAATATAAAGAACAAGACAATTTGTACAGTTCAAGAAGAAATGTTCAGCATTTGCATTGAGTAGGTAAAAGCGTGGGAAGTAAAGGAGGAAAAAGTACCAATGCACCAAATGGAAAGAAAGAGAAAGGGAGGATGAAGTGGAAGAGGCTGTTAGAGATTTTGTTATTTTCTGGCCTTTAATTCCACTGGGTTGCTTTTGTTGCAAGAAGACAAATCATTACGCACTTCGTCTTTCATGATTTTTAACACCCCAGCAAAGATAGATGAATATATTGAAATACATTGATGAATACATCAAATACATTGAAATGCCTAAAGGGATTCAGTGTAAGCTCAACTAACTTCAACTTACAGATCCTAGGAAGAAGCTTATTTGTGTGTTCTTAACCTGTTGCCGTGTAGTCCGCAGCGGTTTGCAGCAGGGGTTCGTCTGGGTCCTGCAATCCTTTGGAGGGGATGCTTTGTCTCCCCTTTTCGTGGTCCTGGCTCTGTTCTTCATTGGAACTCGGGTCTTTAACAACTCGTGCCAGCTGAGATGTGCAGTGTATTTTACCAGGAATCTTTAATACGTGTTGTTGCTTTTTCTTTTAAATTCAGGTTGTGAAAGGCCTTACCTATTTATGGAGTCTAAAGATTTTACACAGAGGTGAGTGCAGTGTTTTCTGTTTTCCAATTAAATACCATATTATTTTATTTTAACAACACTTTCTACAGAGACCGTAGACCATGCTAACATCTAGTTTCATTCCAGTGCAGTAATGCAGAATGGATCTTAGTCATTAGCCTTGCAGATTTTCTGATAAAATATTTTTACTGCTCTTCTCTTTTATTGCTCTCCCTCCTCCCCTATAAAGAAAAAGACTAAAGAGAGAAATTAATTTTATAGGGATTTAGATGCTTAGGGTTACAAACAGGTGCCCAGTGGAAAAATCAGCAAGGAAAATCAGATGTTTGACTAGTACTGAAAATAGAAGATAGATAATGAATTTTCTTACGTACTTCAGAAATCTCGACAGCCACTAGCGTTGCTAGAATCTCAGATCTCAAACTGTGGCCCACTGTCCTTTAACATGGTCATGAATAATTAAAGAAACTTTAAACCTGCTTGGACATAAGCCATTTTTGGGTTTTGCTATTTATTCTCCTTTCTGAAGCTAATCTGTATTTTTTTAAACTTCTCGTACATTTCTTGCTTTTTAGTGTTGTTACATTTTGTTAAAAATTTGTGTGTTGTGGTTAATTCAGATGTACTAGAACTTTCAAAAACAATGTCAGTTCCGGAAACGGAGGAAAATGCTGTTTAAAGAACAAAGAAGCCCTTCCCACT